TATATTTTTTATATTCTTAATTTAATTTATTTTCTTTATTTAAGAATATATTATTAATTTAAGAATATAGTCTTTTTCGCGTCGATAGTGAGATATATATGTTTTTCTATAGAGGCTTTTTATATTCTAATCAGTATATATTCTTATCAATATTACTATTTAGAGGATTTTCCTCTTAAAATAAGAAACTTTTCTTGGCGCCTATTTTAGTATAAAATATACCTAAAGTAAGTGGGATATCTCCTCAAAACAAGAATAAAATTTTTTCGGTGATACAACTCTTCCGCGCAAGAAATCACCGCCAGTTTCTTTTCTCTGCGTCAGCACGCGACTGATAGAACTATAAAACATTTTTTATTCTTAATTTGATTTATACGCTCTCTCATACGTCTTACAATTTAAATTGTAATATTCTCGGTGTCTCTCTGAAAATCTCTCCCGGTATATATATATAACTTCGCATGTCGTCTTTTCTAAACGAAAATATATTAACCCGGAAGAAAAACCGCCGCACATCGTGAATGTGAACCTTGTTAAGCCAGCCAATTATTTTGCTATCTCTCTCTCTCTCGGAAAGAGGCTCAAGAATGACGGAATCCTTTGTGGGAACAAGTCTTTTCTCATTTCTTCCGCATAACGGATGTAGTCGAAGAAATCCGCCGTGTCGATTCATCGTTCGTCTACCGACGTCGTCTTTTGACGACAACGACGACGACGACGACGACGAAAGCTTTCCGCCATATTTTCTGAGCTAAGCGGAAGCGAGTGCATTAATCTTGATACGAAATATCAAGCTCTCGCGTGACTCTATCCACGTTGGTTAAGTTACGGTTCGAGAAGAATTGTGTGCGCAAAGATAAGCGTAAGTTGCGCGTAAGCGCATTTTTTTAGACAGAGGGAAGGTAAAAAAAAAAAAAAGCTCAATAATAAAATTTCCGAGTTTTGATTGGAGTTGTTACCGCCGCGCGCCCATAACCGTTGAGATGAATTTCTTCTCACTCTCTTGCGTGAACACATTACCCGCGGGTGCGGGAAACATGTTCTAATAATATGGCAAGCACTTTCCCATTTTCTTCTTCTTGTAAGCGCGAGTTAGATACAAGTATGAAGTAATAGCGAGCGCGAACTTTTTCAACCCCCCGTGTAACGCAATGGCGGCCCCGTCCGTGCATACGTGGGCGCGCACGGTAGCGCTACACGGGAACTTAATAAGAAACTTTATAATCACCTCGTGCTTAGAGAGATTAAAGCTCGCGGAGGAGTAACTTTCCGCGCGGACTTAAGTATCTAAACTAGATAACAGTTTCGAGAAACCCAGGGCAAGCTCTGATCAATCTCTTTTCTCAGATGTGAGCCTGGGACACAGTTAGTAATGTGTAATATATTTCTTAGTAAAAAATCTCTTTATTTAACGCTACGATCCCTGGTTGGGATCCTCTTCAGAAATAACAAAACTCTAACAATGTTGCAACATAATAATACATAATAAAATTTTTATTATAATAGTATAATAAAATTTATATTAATAATAAAATATTATAATAAAATTTTTAATAGTATAATAAAATTTATATTAATAATAAAATATTATAATAAAATTTTTACTATGTATTATTATGTTACAACATTGTTACAGTTTTGTTATTTCTGAAGTGGATCCTAACCAGGGATCGAAACGTTAAATAAAGAGATTTTTTACTAAAAAATATATTATACATTACTAACTGTGTCCCAGGCCGTTTCCACTTCAAGTTTTTTGTTTTACACAATTGGAGCCTTCTACGTTTATTATTTATCTTTTCCCAGATATTTTGGAAGTGTGAACAATAATAATAATAATTTTGATTTCCGGAAATGTGTGTGACGTTCGGCATTAAAAATCAGAAAAAAACAAAAAAAAAATCACCGAAGTTAGAAAATTATCCTACCTACCGCGGAGAAAATTTGCGAAAATTGGAGGTTCGCCCCGGAAATTTTGCACTATTTCGGGGAATAATAATTCAGGGGACCGGCTATTGTCGCCCGGTCCAAACAAAGAATCCACGAAAGCGGCCATTAATTTGCCGATTTGAATGGGAAGTGTTATTTTATAGTCGGCATTCGTTTCCCCATAAATCGCTTTGCAGAAATGCCGTGAATTCGCACAGCCCTTCTCTTTCTCTCTTTCATCGGCTTACTATACCGTTGCATTTTGCGACGTTCCTTCCTGCATACTGATTGGGGAAAAAAAAAAAAGATTTTGTTGTAATTCCGGTTGTTCGTTTTCGCAAACAAATGTGAAGAAAATTTTGATAATTAAAGAGAGATTTAACATTGTTTTCTTCTGTTCGTTACGTCGATGTTAATTTAGTCCGTTAATTTTTATCGAAGTTGAAAAAAAAACTGCGCGACAGTTGAGTTTGAACGCGTTAATTATTGTCAAATTTCGCGCTTGTTAAAAAACTAAAAATCAACGAGCGAATATGTGGGAAACGATTGAAAAAGCTACGTTTAAACACGATGAGAAACGATTCACCTGAGGGTTAAAGGCCGATCTCCGCGCGCGGTATCGCTTCCTCCCATTCTCTCTCTCTCTCTCTCTCTCTCTTTCTCCTTACTTACTAAATTCAATTTCGATATTGAATGGCAAAATGGTCCTGTCGCGATGCGTCTTCTTCGAATCAAGTGACTCCTAGCAATGTTACGATGTTATTACTTCTACGCGATTTCATAACAGCGAATTTTTGAAAAGGACGTATTATATGCGCGTCCGTTCAGAAATATAATAGATATATAAAATCTAGCAGCTACGTTGTAACATTTTTTTTATACACCCAACGCACATTTTATTTATTTACCGAACTATTGTTTAATCGAGTTTAACACGTACTCTTTTTCTCCCTTTTTTCAGTAAAAATATGTATAGTTTTTATTAAATTGTTTCAAAATTGAAATAAAAATATACCTATAGAAATAAAAATATATTGTAATGTACAAGTTGGAGCAAACAATACAAAAGGAAAAAAAAATCATAATTTTCATGAAAAAATGTTTCACCGTCCGTGAACTCGAATTACATTATTGTTTATTCGCTTTATTATATATATACGCGGGCGTGGAAGAATATCATGTTAAGGTAAAGAGAATAGGTGTCTAATCTCTCTCAATATGTTAAAGATAAT